GGGAGAGGGGTTTCATGGGGAAGGGAGAGGGGTTTCATAGGGGAGGGAGAGGGGTTTCATGGGGGAGGGAGAGGGGTTTCATGGGGGAGGGGCGAGGAATCACAGGGGGTAGGAGAGGGGTCGACCTGTTCTGTTGCCTCCTCTACCTCATCTGTATTGTATAGAAATAAATTAATCCCCCTTCCCCTCACCCCTACCCATCTCTCATAATTTCGTGCATTATATAGTAATTGTTTATACGCTCCCCCCTTCCACCCCCTCCCACCCCTCAGCTTTTCCACGTCAATCGTGAAACATGATTTTTTTCACAGCACGCACCCATGAATTATGTCGCGTTTCCCCATCTCATATCCAGTATGCCGTATCGTAGATGTGTACGTACATTGAGTAATAATTGAGTACATAGTAATTGTTTAAACCCCCCTTCCTGCCCCTTCCCACTCCTCAGCATTTTCTAGAGAAGATGCTTTTTTTTACAGCCACTGTGGCACCAGACCAGATAAATTTTTTTTAAACAAGCATAGATGCTTGTAATATAGGTTAGCATGCACACTGAAGCCCATAGTTTTATTGTAAACCCGACTGAAATAATCAAGACATCTAGTGGGCTATGCGACCAGTTAGATTATTTTTTTCAAACAAGCAAATATGCTTGTAATGTAGGTTAGCACGCACTCAAGCCGATAGTTTAGTCATAAACTCGACGGAAGTATTCAAGACATCTTGTGGGCTCTGCGACCAGGTGAATTATTATTTTTAAACAAGAATAGATGCTTGTAATATAGGTTGGCACACACACTCAAGCACATAGTTTAGTCATAAACTCGACTGAAATAATCAAGACATCTTGTGGGCTATGTGCATGACCAGGCGGATTATTTTTTTAAACAAGCATATACGCTTGTAATATAGGTTAGCGCGCACACATGCAAGCCCATATAGTTTTGCTGTAGATCAAGTGGGCTACCTGATCAGGTGAATTTTTTTTAAAACAAGCATGCTGCTTGTCATATATAGGTTAGCACGCACACTGAAGTCCATAGTTTTATAGTAAACCTGACTGAAATAATCAAGACATCTAGTGGGCTATGCGACCGGTTAGATTATTTTTTTCAAACACGCAAATATACATGTAAATATTAGTTGTAGGGCACGCACGTCAATGCCGATAGTTTGGCTAACGGCTCCATTAGGAGTGTTCCCGAACGTTGATATCATTAATGATTAATGATTAATGAATTTAATGATTGTATTAATCCTAATCCTACTCTAACTCTAACACCATAACTCTAACCTAAATGACATTAAACACAAACTAATATATGAGCCATGAC